GTTGTCTAAAGCGTAGATTATACCCAAAGTATACTTAATAAAATTCTGACTAAGATTATAAAGCTTAATCACCAGAAAGCGATTATATCGCATCCTTCCAGTTTGGCAACGAAGCCGGACTCTACGTAACAGTTAAACAAATTGCCAGAGATACGAACTACCAAACTGGGGCGATGAAGTTTGGCAAAAGTTTACTGGCGATTGAAACCTACTTTTTGCAATCTAACTTTGGCGTAAACATCGCTGGTTTTTCTTATTGTTTTAGTGCTACTTACGTCCTTTGTAACTATACCTACCTGTTAGAATGAAAGTGTTTTTGTTTTATAAAATATGATGCTAAAACGTCGCTTAGGTTGAACTACCAATCACACAGGATAGAATCTCCCATTTTAATGGGTCAAAATGAGAGAGAGAGAGAAAAATCCCATGCGGTCGCCGTTGAATTCTACTTTATCTCGATGCCCGGGTACTTGACAGGAGGTACCTATGCTTGAGCTTAAATCGAGCTATGAGTGTTTATGTAGAATGTATCAATCTTGTCTAATTTATACGATAATAAACTCTCTTCGAGGACTCTACCTCACTCCTATAGTTACTGTTACCTGTAGTTATGTTTTATTTATCACTCACCATTTTTCAGAAACGCATGAGCCTAGAAGTGGAGACCACCCGCAAGACTTCAGCGCTCACCTGGGTCGGCCTCGGCCTGATGGGTGTGCAGTTCGGGGTCCTCGCTCGCCTGACCTGGTGGGAGTACTCCTGGGACATCATGGAGCCCGTGACTTACTTCGTCACTTATGGCACCGCTATGGCTGCGTACGCTTACTTTGTGCTGACTAAGCAGGTAAGAGAAAGAGCAAGTCAGTAAACTATCCCCTGGACCACTCTTATTAACTCTTATTAGAGGCAAAACTGTAGGTTGGTGGAAGGTAGTAACTTGAGACGCGTAAAATGGATGAAACTTTGCTGATTGTTGATTAAACGGGACTAGGTATTCACACCTCTCGTTCCACTTGTATATCCAGAATCTTCAGCTTGGCCTCCAAAAAAGCCCAACCAGTGAAAGTCGAGTAGTCCCAGGGGATAGCTAACAGTCTTGGTAACCGCAACGAATTTAACCACAACAATTTAAGAGGAGCTCGAAATATAATATCGACTACCATCCGTTGCAAAGCGGGAGACAGGTGACTGTAAAGGTATTAAACTTTATTAAGAATGAGGTATACAAAGAGATGATTGATCAAATGTCACATTAAGAAAATGGTTCGAACAATTCAGGTTTTTCAGGCAGTTTGTATAAGTTATATTTGTATTATTTTTCCAGGAATACGTCCTGCCCGATGTGAAGGATAGGCAACACCTGCTGACCCTGCACAAGAAGGCGAAAAAGATAGGCCTCGACATCAACCACTACAATCATCTAAAAGATGAGGTACGTAACAATGCATTAGTCATCATCATCATCATCTCAGCCATAGGACGTCCACTGCTGAACATAGTAATGCGTATTTAAACAAAATATGTCTGTTTTGTTCTTTTCGATCAAATTTTCTGTATTTTCACAATAAATTAAAATCGGTCATGACAGCTAATGTACAGTCAGCGTCAAACAGATCGTAACACCCAAAGTAGGCCAAAAGTCGGCAACACAACCTTATTCCAATTGTAATAAAGACGTCATGAAACTTTTGATTACTTTGGGTGTCACTTTTTGACGCTGACTGTACCAAAAATGATAATGAACTTTGAATTTAGAGACTTTTGAAATATCCTTTAGATATTTTTGCGCAAAAAATATAATATGGTTTTGTGTGGAGACGCGACCTCTTGCGTAGTAGGCGAGTACTTAACCACGTCACCACCGTTCGTCAAATATTAACCAACATTTTTATCTTACAGATAGACAAATTAGAAAAAGATCTCGGTCGCCTCCGTGATCCTCTACACATCCACCTTCCGGCGTCCTACGTGGAGAAGTCTGGAGACGACAAGCGATCGCCCTTGACCAAGATAAAGGACATGCTCGAGGAAACCAGCAAGAAGATGAAAATCACGTAATATTGGCTGAACCTCTCGCGTCGGGGTCCCCGCCCCTAGATGCGGCCCTGTTGAAGTTAGGCCACCGCTCATGTGACGCCTTAGAGCTTAGAGTTGAGACACTTAACTTTAATGTGTCCTGAGATCCAAATATAGCAACAGTTTTAAATGTTAAGTTTTCTTACAACGCCTAATAGGTCAGCTTTTTTGTCCGGTACTTCAATATATTTTGAATAGTTTGGTAAAATACCAACATGCAAATTAACAGCTTCGAGAACTTAAAGAAATATTACCTAGTTAAAAATGTAACCTATTTGGTCAGTCAAAACGACTTTTAAAAACTTTCTGTACATATTCTTTGAAAAATTCTCTTGCCATTTTCTTCAAAAGAGTTATCGCTACATTAGTCTGTTTAAGACCTAGACCGAAAATATGAATATTGATAAATATGTAGAACCATTATTGAAACTTGCCATGGTAGGTACTTGGTATCGATGACGGGCGTTAGTAGATCGTCTTAAGTCTTTTTTACTTGGAGAAAGATGCAATATTTAATATAATATAGTGAAAGAAATTGTAAGAATTTTTAGTTACCACTAAAAGAAATTTCGAGGCAAAATACAAATACAGACCATTGCAATGGACGCACGTGGATGTAACTTATTACCTAGTAAGCTTTTGAAAAATGTAAATTAGTAAAATAATATGTAAAGGCCTATTCAGACCTAAGCGGTATTCGCTACCGTCTGCGGCAGAGAAAACCCAGTGGGTATGCGGTAATAATACTGTTCAGACCTAAGCGGTATTCGCTACCGTTCAAAGAAAACGCTCTAGCCGCGGTACTTGATACTAAACAGCGGCAGCGAATATCGCTCAGGTCGCTCTAGCCGCGATACTTGATACTAAATACCTGAGCGAAATCCGCGCGGTATGTACCTCTACCCACAGCGGCAGCGAATATCGCTCAGGTTTGAATAGGCCTTAAGTCTCTAAGGCGTACCATGAGCTAATTTAGGCTTTCTTGGGCGACAATCGCACCGTTCGATATTTTTCAGCCACCGTTTCGGATCTTAGTTGTTTACAAAATAATATATTAGAAGGTTTAGATTATTTTACGCAAATTGGCGGAGACAGTCTCTCGGTAGTACGAGTGTTTCGCGTAACACAAAATAAGTACCTATCTTAGGAAATTGCTTTTAGTAAATTTTACAATAAAAAAGATTTAAGTTACGTAGTTTTTACAATATGCTCACAATAGTTTCCTATTTTAGTTGTAATTCTAACAATATTATAATTTCTTTTTTTGTGTTTGAAAATTTTGGATTTCTTGGAAAACTGTGCCAACGAATTTGTGAATAAAGTAATATAATGTTTGTTCAGGAACCACAAAGTTTATTTTAAAGTTTGGGATATTTTTTTCATGTCTCATTACTAACCTTTATGTAGTTTTTAAATGAAATCTAGTCTTGTCTTATGTTCTAAGTTCAACTGAACATAGTAAAATATTTACCTAAAACTCTTTATAAGAATACCTTGCTTGATATTAATGCTTGTCTCATAAACGCCGATAAAAATAAAATAAATAAAAATAAGAATATGTATTAAAAGGTTGAGTTTTTGGGATGACATTTGAATTTTTACATGGCGAAAAATGCTTCTACGAACCTGATGCTCAATTTCTCTCAAATTCTCCGTACATTTTTTACCTTAGGTTTACAAATAAACAAATTAATTTGTACCTTACCTACATACACATATTATTATGAGTCATCTCTTGGGTAGGTANCTGCCGTGCCCCCAGATAATGTTTCCTCTACAAATTCTTTGCCATTTGGTTCCTAGACCAACCTATTCTCTTGCTCTATTACAAAACCTAAAAGGCCAGTCTCTAGATTCTTAATTTTAGCCTATTTACCAGACTGCGTCAGAAGGAGAGCTATGTTTTTATCTCCATGTTTCAGTATTCCTCTTTATTTTCCTATTCCTTTTTAGGTAACAACGTTTAATCCATAGCGATGGAAGTTTTGGGGGTAAATATTTTAAATTTAATCCATTAGCTAGTGGTAAAATATTTTCGGGGTAAATATTTTAAATGTTGGCAACCCATGAACTAGAATACATTTGGAGCCGACACGTCTGCGGCTTCCCAGCTAACAGCATTTGAATGCTTTGGTATTGGCTTTGTGGATAGTTTGACGTAGAAGGTTGTTTTGGAGGCAAAATCGAGTTCGAGGTGTTATAACGTATGAGCTTATCTTTTGTGATGTAATTCATGTTTCTGTTGAATAATAAGGGATTTATTGAAAAGAAAAAGAGCATGTTACGTTAAAATTCTTATTTTAGTACTAATGTATGTGAAAGTTTATCAGGATGGATAGATAGATGGATGACTGAACTGATTTAGATAAATTTTGTAATAGAGAGTTTGAAACCAAGGTTTTTTAGAAGGGACCAAAATTCACACGGGAAAATCCGCAAGAAAGGAAAAATTTTGCGCGCGTATGCTAAAGCGCTTTAAAAACCTTTATACAAAAGAGGCTCCTTTTTCTGATAGAGCCGTCACTGACGTCACTGTCACCCGTTAGAAGTTACGGGGTGTTCATAATCCGAGGGTTGTCACATTACACGCGTGAAGCGATTACTGGCAAGGGTTGCCAAGGGGACGCCACGGAGCGGAATGATTGGGGCACTTGAGGTGTTTTGCTAACCGAGCTTCCCATGATAATGTAATGGTTCAGAGGTAATCTCTTTTTTTTTCAACGTATGATTTTTGTACCAATATTACTGTTTTGCTTTAGGTATACTTACTTATGACCGTGTTACTTTAATTTTAGACTGCGTTGATGGATTAAAGTGACTGTGTTAGGTACTTGTGCTATTCTTAAGTGTTTCTTTCTACCACAGGCAAATTGTATAAAACTAATATAAACTTATTTATTTATCTGGTGCTTTTAAATTTATAGGAGCGACTCAGCAATGAGGAGGTGACACGCCTGAGTGACGTACGGAACCTCGTGAACCAGTTGTACGAGGCGCTTAATGTCCGCGAGCATCAGATCCGAAAGGAGAGGGACCTGCGCTCCCAGCTCGAGAAACTTAACTCGGAGCTGCAGCCGCTTGAAGAGGTAAGAGAAGAAAAAATATTTACCATTATAAGCTTTTGGTACACGCCTGAGCGACGTGCAGAACCTCGTGAACTAGTTGTACGAGGCGCTTAACGTCCGCAAGCAACGGATCCGCAATAAGAGGGACCTGCGTTCCCAGCTTGAGAAACTTAACTCGGAGCTGCAACCTCTGGAAGAGGTAATAATTGTCTAATATTGAAGCTTTTAGTACACACCTGAGTGACGTACGGAACCTCGTCAACCAGTTGTATGAGGCGCTCATACAACTGGTTGGCTTTTCGAATTTTTAGATGGCCCTAATGTGGTGTAAATTCGGGTGGATGTTACCATAACCTTTTCTGAGGGCAGCACCCGCGCCTTCACTCAACCAAATTTAATTTATTACGGAAGGAACCAGTAACTATAGATAAGTAATAATTACGAGTAGTTAATCAAACTTATACTTATTAGACCAAACTACATTTTATTTACCTACCCAAAATATAATTCTGACTAAGATTATAATGCTTAATCACCAAAAAGAGATTCTATCATCGTTCCAGTTTGGCAACGAAGCCGGACTACTTAACAGTTAAACAAATTGCCAGAGATACGAACTACCAAACTGGGGCGATGAAGTTTGGCAAAAGTTTACTGGCGATTGAAACCTACTTTTTGCAATCTAACTTTGGCGTAAACATTCTGTGGTTTCTCTTATTGTTTTAAGTGCTACATACGACCACAAATGTATGAACGAACGGTATGAGTTTCCAATGTTTATGTACTTTCAAATCTACATAAATTAGAATGAAATAGGTACGTAATGCATGTTCTAGCATAAGGATTTTTAATTATTTTTCGGTAGGGACTTAATGTATCATTACATGATTCTGAAACTACGCTCAGGCTGAATTATCAATTACAACATTCAGTCTATACTTGAGTTTTAATCGAGTTTCAACGTTTATTTTCAAGTACGTTTCTTAAACGACGTCCTTTTTCGGAGAGAGTCCTCACTCCTATCGCCTCTTTTTCCGTGGTAACTGACTCACGCTCATAATAATATTCACAAACATTATTACGAGGTCTCGCAGAGCGGACCAATCACAGAGCTCTATTCAAAGCTGTGCGTTCGATTTGCTGCTTCATTTAAGCAAGCATAGTTTGTGAATACGGACGTAAGATTTATTTATTTAAATTACAACATTTCACTCTCATGATAAAAATTCAAATCTTTTTCCAGAAACGCATGAGCCTAGAAGTGGAGACCACGCGTAAGACCTCAGCGCTCACCTGGGTCGGCCTCGGTCTGATGGGTGTGCAGTTCGGGGTCCTCGCTCGCCTGACCTGGTGGGAGTACTCCTGGGACATCATGGAGCCCGTGACTTACTTCGTCACTTATGGCACCGCTATGGCTGCGTACGCTTACTTTGTGCTGACCAAGCAGGTAAGAGAAAGAGCAAGTCAGTAAACTATCCCCTGACCACTCATAAGCCTAGGCGCAGACCATCGATTTTTCGTCGGCCGATAGATTAGTCGGGCAGTTGATCAGTTTGGGCATGTATGGGAGTGCGCACATTACACCGATTTGATTTGGCCAATTCTTCATACAATTTAAAATCGGGCACAGTTGTGATGGCCAATCGGCCAACTAAAAATCGATGGTCTGCGCCTAGTCTAACTCTTATTAGAGGCCAAACTGTAGGTTAGTGGAAGGTCGTAGCTTGAGACGCGTAAAATACATAGATGAAACTTTGCTGTTTGTTGATCAAACGGGACTAGGTATTCCCACCTCTCGTTCCCACCGCTGCAACATTTGTATTCCAGAATCTTCAGCTTTGCCTCCAAAAAAGCCCAACCAGTGAAGGTTGAGTAGTCCCGGGGGATAGCTAACTATTTTGAAACCCGCAACGATTTTATCAGAAGATTTAGGAGGAGTTCGAAATATAATATCCATACGTTGCAAAGCGGGAGACAGGTGACAGTAAAGGTTAAACCCATGTAAGAATGAGATATGTACCTATATGAAGTTGGGTAGGTTGATCAGATGAAAAAATGATTTGAACAATTCAGGTTTTTAAGGCAGTTTGTATAAGTTATATTTGTATTATTTTTCCAGGAATACGTCCTGCCCGATGTGAAGGATAGGCAACACCTGCTGACCCTGCACAAGAAGGCGAAAAAAATAGGCCTCGACATCAACCACTACAATCATCTAAAAGATGAGGTAACTTAATGCATTCGCATTTAAACAAAAATTCCGTTTTGTTATTTTCGTTCATTTTCTGTATTTTCATAATAAAATAAAATCGGTTAGCAAGAATTCAGCTGATATACAGTCAGCGTATAAGTAATCAAAAAGTTGCCTACACAAACTTATACCAGTTGTAATAAAGACGTGTTTACGAAACTTTTGGCTACTTTGGATGAAACGAAATTTTTGATGCTGACTGTGCCAAAATTATTAATGGATTTTGTGAATTTCGAATTCAGGGAATTTTAAAATAATGTACCTTTGGATATTTTCATGCAAAAAAATGGTTTTGTGCGGAGACGCGACCTCTTTTGTAGTAGGGGAGACCGAGGAGAGTTGTAACATTGTCGATTTTTGTAAACTTATTAACTAACAACGAGCTCGCAATAGCGCGTATTCGTTAGCTCGAGAGTCTAACTAAAACGCGCACTGTTACGAGCTCGCTAGAAGTTAATAAGTTCCAAAAACTCTCCTCAGTCTCCCCTAGGCGATTACTTAACACATTGATGGACAGTAACGTCCACGAGCATTCAGGTAGTAAAGGATAATACGACAGAACACCTATAGACGTCATAGTTTTTATTCGTTTTATTTACATTGAAACTGCTCCTAAAGGCAATGTATGTGAATAAGAAGTGTCATCTTGGAAGTCATTCTTAAATTGTACTGTCCAACAAAGTGTTAACCGCGTCACCGCCGATCGTCAAATATTAACCAACATTTTTATCTTACAGATAGACAAATTAGAAAAAGATCTCGGTCGCCTCCGTGATCCCCTTCACATCCACCTTCCGGCGTCCTACGTGGAGAAGTCTGGAGACGACAAGCGATCGCCCTTGACCAAGATAAAGGACATGCTCGAGGAAACCAGCAAGAAGATGAAAATCACGTAATATTGGCTGAACCTCTCGCGTCGGGGCCCCCGCCCCTAGATGCGGCCCTGTTGAAGTTAGGCCACCGCTCATGTGACGCCTTAGAGCTTAGAGCTGGGAGACTTAGCTTTTACTGTGTCCCGAGATTCAAATATAGCAAGTTTTTTTATTATACCTATTTCTGGCAGTTAAAATGTTAAGTTTTCTAACAACGCCTGATAAGTCAGCTTCGCTGTCCGGTAATTATTCAATATAGCGATTAATAAAGTTTGGTAAAATACAAATGCAAATGAAAAGCTTCGAGAACTTAAAAAAATATTACCCAAAACGAGTTTTAAAAACTTTCTGTACATATGTAATCTTTGAAAAATTATCTTGCCATTTTCTTCTGTTTAAGACCTAGACCGAAAATATGAATATTGATAAATATGTAGATATTAATGAGAACCATTATTGAAACTTGCCATGGCACTTGGTATCGATGACTAGCGTTAATAGATCGTCATAGGTCTTTTCTAGATGGAGAAAGATGCAATTTTTAATATAATATAGTGAAAGAAATTGTAAGAATTTTTAGTTGCCACTAAAAGAAATTTGGAGGCAAAAGACAAATCCAGACCATTGCAATGGACGCACGTGGATGTAACTTATTACCAAGTAAGCTTTTGAAAAATGTAAATTAGTAAAATAATATGAAGTCTCTAAGGCGTACCATGAGCTGATTTAGGCTTTTTTGAACGACAATCGCACCGTTCGATATTTTTCAGCCACCGTTTCGGATCTTAGTTGTTTACAAAATAATATATTAAAAGGTTTAGATTATTTTACGTAAATTGGCGGAGACAGTCTCTCGGTAGGTACGAGTGTTTCGCGTAACACAAAATAAGTACCTATCTTAGGAAATTGCTTTTAGTAAATTTTACAATAAAAAAGATTTAAGTTACGTAGTTTTTACAATATGCTCACAATCGTTTCCTATTTTAGTTGTAATTCTAACAATATTATAATTTCTTTTTTTGTGTTTGAAAATTTTGGATTTCTTGGAAAACTGTGCCAACGAATTTGTGAATAAAGTAATATAATGTTTGTTCAGGAACCACAAAGTTTATTTTAAAGTTTGGGATATTTTTTTCATGTCTCAGTACTAACCTTTATGTAGTTTGTAAATGAAATCTAGTCTTGTCTTATGTTCTAAGTTCAACTGAACATAGTAAAATATTTACCTAAAACTCTTTATAAGAATACCTTGCTTGATATTAATGCTTGTCTCATAAACGCCGATAAATTTAATAAAATAAATAAAAATAAGAATATGTATTAAAAGGTTGAGTTTTTGGGATGACATTTGAATTTTTACATTGCGAAAAATGCTTCTACGAACCTGATGCTCAATTTCTCTCAAATTCTCCGTACATTTTTACCTTAGGTTTACAAATAAACAAATTAATTTGTACCTTACCTACATACACATATTATTATGAGTCATCTCTTGGGTAGGTATCTTAGAAGGATTCCGTTCTATTAAACTTTTTTTATGTATTCAATTTCCCATATAAAAAACTCAACCAAAATAAAATGTTGACCAACTGCCGCATCGTACAGCATCAAATGCATAATAGAGTTATAATTTGTATAGCAGTAAGACACATGAACTGAAAAGTTGAAACATGCTTGGGAAAATCATTTGTAATTTTATTGCCAGCTTGATTTATTAAAAACTACCTATTAGGTATTTAATTGCTACGGGGCCTACGCGGGGCGTACATGAATATTAGTATGAGACTAAACGACCCGCACACGTACCGGTCACAAACGCAACGGCTATTAATAAAAGATATTTTTTATTATGTTAATCTTCTGTTAAATCCGAAATATAACTTTTTAGTAACGAGTAGTGATTAACGAAGTTAATTGGATTTCATTAAATTCTCAGTTATGTTTGGGAGTCATACAATGTACGCCCCACAAACGCCCCGCACATGTCACGTGATCTATAAGCCGTTTTTGAAAAACACGGGTACAAGAATCTCTGTATTAGTTAAAATTCATAGCTTAAGAATTTTCTCGATGCTGGAAAAACAATGTAATCGGATTCTACGCAAATATTGCACAAAATATTTTTAAGAACGTAAGGTGCTTTTAAAATCAGCTGGTAATATTATTTTAAAACTGCGTTTAGTGTTTTGCTTCATTTATTTATGTCCTTGCGTAGTTAGTTTTATGCATTTCGATTTTTTTTTCAATTAAATATTTATTGATATTTTTGCTTTTTTAGTATCTAACATGTCTGTTTATGTACTAATTTCCCGTAAAAAGGACATCGATAGGAATACAGCGAATGGAAAACCAAAATTCATTATGACGTTGTTCCAATTGGCTCCAATTTGGAACAACGTCATAATGAATGCGAAAAAGTGTGCGTTGTTGAAGCACTAAATGTGCTGGTCCTGACCACAAATATTGTACGAGTAGTTATGACGTTTTAGAGTTTTACTAAGGACTTTTATAGTTTTAATAGCGTTATTTCAAATAATGGTATAATCGTTATTCTTTTTTTTTAAGTCACGTTAATAAACCATACGTAAGAATTTAAATGTAATTCTTGAATCATAAACAACGTAGAGGAAAGATGTATCTCGTATGTATGAGCGCTAAAGTAATATAGTTGCATGTTTGAAATGATATATTTATACTTATAGTAACCGCTGTAGGTTAAATAATGGCTGTGAAAAAAATGTGAAAAGCATTTTCAGTCCATAAAACTATTTAAAATCACGTTTAGTGACTGTATCGTCACAGTAAGTGTTATTGAACATGAAATTACTCGATTTTTGAGCCGATTATTGTCACGTTTGCAGTATGTGGCAGTTATTATTATGATTGTAAAATTGACATAGGCCATCCGTATTTAGTTGATAACGTGATGGTGCACGTTCATTATAAACGTTAAAGTTCATAGAATAACGTTACGCAGTAGGCTACATGTAAACGTTTTTAAAGCACACTTTAATTAAGTTGGTCTTTATATCATTATAATTTATTTGGCTACGCGAGAAGTGAGAAAACTATAAGTACAGTATATTTTCCCTCGTCAAAGTTTTATATTAATTTACACTCCTAAAATTTTAGTTTGTAGGAGTGTACTATCAACAGAAGGGATCATTTTTAAAATAATATTTCGCCACAGACATTTTATTGGATTGTATCAGGTACACCAACCAATTCGTATCTAAATACGTTGGTTGGGAGACTAGCAGGACTGTAAATATTCAGTTCCAAAATTATTATTATTAGGTACCTCAGATCATAGAAAGAGAATAGATATGAAGTCGCGCGTAACTACAACGAGAACCAGTGTCCCCACATTTCCCCCACCACAGCTCCCACACACACATTCAACTGTGTAAAAACAAAGCGACTGAGAGTCTACGACAACATGTGCAACCGGCTTTAAAGTGCTGTGATTGGCCATAAGGCACGCCTTTTGGCCGCGTGACGTGACGCACACTTTGAAAACGCTAGTGAGAGATCAAAGATAAAATGGAGTCGACAAGATATCGATACTTTAAATCGCTAGGGGCAAGGCTCGAAACTGGTTTCACAAAATGCTTATGTATGAAAACCTTTTTATTATTATATGTGATTATTAATTACTATCACGCATTTACTTTTTAATTATGGCGATCTGCGTACCACATAATATGTTTATCAAAAATAATGCCTATATTAGGCTTTCAACTAGCTCTTATTGTAATTACATAGTTGACAGTTACTAATTACTTCTACTGTTTTTTTTTGTAAAATCTTATAATCGCAAGTAACACATCATTCTTTTATTTAAAATTACAAAATAGAAAATTATAATTTACTTCTATTTATCGATAATAGGAAACCGCATTAGAACACGAGCACGGCACTATGTTACGACCAGCACATGCGGCCGTACTGTGTATTTTCATACGACAGTGGATATCGGAAGAAATTAAATACATTGCGCAGTAGTTGAGCATGACATAAAGTGGTTGCTCACTAAATCGTCAATGTACAAGTGTGTTAGAANGTACGAACGTAGTACGCCCCGTTTGTTATGTTGAATAAGTAGCTAAAATAAAAGGTTTTCCGACTTGCCTTGATTATAATTAACTAATAATTTTGAGTTCTATTTTGATGTTTATTTTACCGTAAAGGGACCTACTTGAGATATTATTTAAACTCAAAATTAATAGGTGTAATTCTAATATATTTTTGTTTTTAAATATTGCTGTTTGTAAATTTTAGTAACATTATTTGGTATAAATATCTAAATCAGGTGACATATAAAGTCCTCAGTGTGTTGAAACCCTTAGGCTTAGATTTTTAAGTGTAATAGTTTTTAAATTCTGTTGTTTAACGACATTAGTTTTTCTCTCGACTATGAGCTTGCCCTACGGACTTGTATAACATTTTGACTATCACGGCCTTATGAATACGGTCTAAAATTCTTTGTATATAATGTACCCCATGTATCTAGGTAAGCACGCACATGATGTTATTCGCTCAAAATAGCTTTCTCTTGTGATTTGCTAATTTGCCTTTTAGGATCTTTTTCTAACTAACGTTTTTTCTATCTATAATAGATTTTTATATAAATAACGTAGCGTTAAGTGGGAGCAAAGCTTCAGTTGATGTTATTAAAGTTGATTTAATTAATAGTTAATAAATAGTTATTTGAATTAAGATTTAGTATTCAGAATTTGTATATAGCGAGTTGGAGACGAATCGTAATTTTCCAAAGCATGGTCTTTATAGGTAGAATTTATAGAGATAGTTTTGTGTTACCTTCGATCACCATTCAATATAATGTACGTTGTTCTTTAGTTTTATATCACTCTAATTTGAGTAACATCATAAGTCTTAAAACAGAAGTATTTTTTTCGAGAATCTTTTTTTAGAATCTTTTGAGAATGGCGAAGGAAACGCTAAAATGTGTACTCACCTCAACTTGTCGAATGTGCGACTGAGACAAAGCTCTACCAATTCGACTATCGCTGTCTCCGTCTACAGCTCGCTGTGTATATGTTCGAGTACCTCACGTACAGTCGCTGGCACATCAGGCTATGCATATTTGTTGAAAAATAGCACTTATTCCAACTACATTAAGATGCTGTATTGTCTAACTTGATGTGCCTCCGTCTGTTGCATTATTGTACAGACTTGAAGTTAGTTTATGTTCTTAACACAGTCGCAATAGATTAGAGTTAAGTGTAGTCGAGAAACATGTTTTTAGGACGGAATAGTTAGATATTTTCAATTTGAAGGGGTGATTGCGTAGGTAAACGAAAGGGTATTGATACTTTTCTTTGGGTTAAATAAAGTACAAAAAAGTAATCTTTGATTCACAGTTTAAAATCACCTTGATTGGAAAATAAGGTGTCTGTCAGCCTGTGTTTGATTATTATTTTGGATTTTTACGTCCTGATTTTATTTTTGTACTTTCTATAACCCATTTTATTTCCTTCTATTATTTTCGTTAATCCCCTTCTATATTGCTGCCTATATTGTCCTTAATATTTCTACTATCGTAATATACACTGAAGTATTTATTATAAAATAATAAATCAAAATTTATTTTAAAAATCTAGTTATACATTGGATATATGCATTTTGAAATTATAATACTTAGACCTTTTAAAGATTTCACTATCGAGTAGGTAGGGTGTTTATTATTAAAAATACTTACTGACAGTATTTGGAAGGGCTGGTTGTCTTGAAGCATTTGTAGATCATCAATGAGGATCATTTTCTTTTATTAACTAGGAAGTGTACAAAGCGTGTTGTTGGGTTGTTTTTATTTTCTTCTTGTCAGTTGATGTGCTGACGTCAGTACATTTTGGGCTTTCGCTGATATTTGGTATGTATTTATAGAATTTATGTGTCAGATAAACTCTTGAGAATTACTGTCTATTTTTGTGGTTATTATCGATAGTGTCGATAGTATTGCCATTATCAAAAATAGTGTTATCGATATTAATCCTGCACATAATACCTAAGGCACAAACTAAACACAGTCTATCTCTTTTTATCTTTATTGCACAAAGTAGGATAGCACAGTCCTGCCACAAACTGAATTAGACTGTAACAAGACAAACAGCCCTTCATACTTGGCATGTACTAGACTAATTAATTTAACCACATACTAACTTTCCTGATACTATTTCACTTATTATAAAGAGATTTGCCAAAATGTACCCTTCCAAAATTCTTGTTAATAACTTTGTTAATCCTTTTGCATTATTAAATAATTATGGAGAGGTGCAGTCAGGTGGAAAATGTGTCAACTTATAAACTCAGATTTTTGATTCTCAAGTTGTAAGTGCAATATTTTTTTAATCGAAATCAACGTTGCTTTTCTGTTATTGACTTGTGATGTTTTTTTTTCCAAAACCAAGCCTATAAGTCTCTGTTTGATTCTTAGTTTTCTGGCACTTGCGGCCACACTTGCGGAGTCCAAACTACGGGTTACCCAGTGCACAACTAATCGAGATAAGTTGACGAATAAACATTTGCATCATTTTGTGAAATCGTCCATAAAATTGTGACCGTGTATCTTTTGAGATAGATAAAAATCTGAGTTCTGCAACTGAAATTGAGTTGTATCTACATCTTGCTGCTGACTGTACGGGAGTGTAAGGGGCGACCGGCACAAACATACAACCCGACTCCTTTACAGTTAACTATTTTGCATTTTGTTAAATTTACAGTCGTGTTGTTCGAATAAATTTTTCAAAAAATAACTAATGTGTTCTTATTCATCCACTTAAACCGATATTTAACTGTTTATTATCATTTTTTATAAAACCTATTTATGTCATTATTCATGATAACGTACTAAACGATTAATAATATTACTAGTTTATTAACATTTTCTTATTCTTACTGCAGAATCAAACGCAACAATTAAATACTGAATTACATCTTTATTCGTTAAATAAGCCTTATTTAATGTCCTCTCATTTACATCTTATTACATAATAATTACAGTAAGTGTCGACAAATAACTTAATTATGTTACAGCGTGGCTAACATTATGTTTTGTCCTTTTCTAGCGCTTCAGAGGGAGATATGGGCTTGGAATCAAAGGGATATAGGTCGATGCTTTGCACGTGTGCTCTAACCGACACTCCCGGAGGCACGCCGAAATAATCTCTACCTATGTTTCTTATTATAGTCGTACCAGGTTTCGAGTGGTGTATGTTAAATCCTATAGCGAATTGGGGACCGTTATTTTCGCCTTTCCCGGCATCGAACGCTCCGTTGTCATCGTTATTATTCGTCTCGAAAGGTTTAAGTGGCACATAAGGCTTCTTCGTCGGCCTATAAGGCTTGCTCGGGCGTCCTGGTTTGCCTGTAATATGCAATCACTTCTATATTCTTATGCGGTGCTGACAGCGATGTGCGAGGTGCCGTAAGGTGTTGGTGTAATAAAAACCAATTTGCTTGTGAACATGTTTATTGCATTCAAGCAATTTTTTTTTTATTAAAACTAAATTTTAAATAGTTCTACAGTGCAACTCTTCAACTTCTAGCAAGTGGATCGGCTGTGACCTTGTTTCTAACCGTAGAGGCATCTTTAGAACAAAGAGGCCCACGAGCGCCTGCGATCTTTCTTTCTTTAGCGTCAGTAAAATCAGTCGTACGGTTATGGAGTTACGGAACAAGATCACAAGCTTCAATCACCTTGCCGTGATCCATGCTATTCGTCACCTGGTCCTTTTGTTGGCTTGGCGCCTCCGAAATTCGAGATGTCTTCATCAACGTACGTTATATCATCCGTACCACTACCTTGCGGGAACGCAGGGCTTTGATACCCAGTGTCTGGTGGACTATCAGGCTCGGCCTCACTAGACCCGCTAGGGCTGACTGGCCCATTGAAACTGTCTGATCCGCTAAAACTATCGGATCCACCGAAGCTGTCTGAACCACTGAAGGTGTCCGAACCACTAGGGGCAGGCCCTGTGGGCTCAGAACTGGGTTTACTACTTGGCCTGTCTTTGTCGCTGCTTGGGAAGGGAGGTGGTTTTACGTGTCCCGACGCAGCTGTGCCATCCGGACCTACGGTGAGATACAACAACTGTGAGAACTTTGCTGTGTTAAAAGTTAGTAAAACCATTATGGGATCAGCAAGCCCAAACCATTGTTAGCTGTGTGAAGCATATAGTACTTGATCCTTCGAGCCGGATCAAAACGGTTACCTTTGAACACATCATCGGTTCCGCTGTCATCAGGCGAGAAGTTGGTTGAGCCTGCCGCATTCACGAAGTCTGGGTCATACGCGCTAGGGATCGTCGGGAAGAATGGTGGGATGTAAGGGTCCTTGCTGTTCTTCACTATGCGATATCCAATTCCTGGGCCAGCGATATAGTTGACAGTTCTAGAAATTAAATTAAATTAAATTAATTTTAGTATTTAAAGAAGTATCAGAAGTAAATCGACAACCAGGTAAGCCAATATTTTATAGGTCTATTTTCCATTAGGTGTTAACAATGTTTACCTTTGAACTCCTTTGTCATCTAAGAACGTGTAGGATCCCCTGACGTTTCCGTGTGAATCACTGCTCTCAGTTCTTCTTTGGTCTGGGCCAGCTGATATAAATCTGCATAAAAAGTTACAAAATATAACTTGTCTAATTTCAGTTACCTGTTTAATTATCTAGATAAAATTCTGGCTTAATTACAGACGAAAAACAACTTAATTAAAAACATTGCAAAGTATCAGGAGTGATGAGGATGACCCATTTATACAGGTTTCAGTTAAGAAAAACGAGATCAAAAAATAATTTCAAGGTATGTAGATACCCTACTGTATTTGCAATTTTTAAAGTAGTTTTTGTTATATTCTTCTCCAATTGTTTGGTATTTATTGATTAACTATCTGATGGAGTTCTGCTAGAGGATAGAATCATTAAGATTGCCACATGGAATATCTTTAATGTTAACCCAGCTTAACCAAGCATGGTCAAGGTCAAGTTTTATTGCAATGTTTTTGTTTTGCAGCCGTTTTGTTAGTAGAATTATGTCATGAAAGAATCGACGGTCAGATAGTAGATAACTACACTAGGTGACATTGATCAGTAGGTACCTGTAGGATCCATCAAGCCCCCTCTGCACAGCAGTCCTCCCACGAGGCTTGGCCTCACCCCTGACCAGCGGCGCGCGGTGGAATGGAGACCCGATGATGCTGGGGCTGTCTGGGTGCGCAGAAGAGACGTGAAAGCCTGTGTCTCGACCGGCTATGTACGAGACATCGTGTCTTTCGCCCACGTCGTCGACGAAGGAGTAGTGGCCTTGAAGAAAAGAGTTAAAATTAGTTGGGGTTACTTGAGTGATATTGAACACTAGGGTGGTAAACCAGTTTTAGTCACATGCCATCCTGTGGTAGGCTCAAAGGGGGCAGATGGGAACCTTCTGGGGGCTGCCGTGACGTCACATCGATTCTGGTACTAACGGTTAATTGAGACAACGTATAAACAAACCTTGTTAAGATACGAAGTGATTTCCACCTGTTTATAAGATCTTATGAGCCATTGTCATGGTTTTTCTCAAGTCACACAATATTTTATTGCGCTGTGAAATATTCATGGCTTTCATAATTGCCGATGTAGGTATTCGTAAATATCTGCATCAGCATCTTTATAGGAATATGCCTAAAATTAATTGTCTTGTTGTGTGACCCTGAAATCACTAATTATTAATTTTATGTACAGTCAGCGTCATATAGTTCATAATACATGGAGAACATCTATTTAAACAAATCCTTTATGGCATGGTCAGACACGCCAGGATTAACTCATTCCAAAGCTCTCATAAAAGCCTATGATCGAAAAAGCTCTAAGCAGATCATAGGACTGAGTAGGACCAAAATGCGCATCTTAGTTCGAGCCCTCACTGGACACTGCAGCTTAAACAAGCACTTGTCCACTATGGGACTGTCCGAAACAAGAACGTGCAGGATGTGCCAAGAGGCAGATGAAACGCCACTACACATTCTCACGGACTGCGGACCTCTGATGCGCAAGCGGAGCTTACACCTGGGCAAACACATCCTATGCCCACAAGATGTAAAACATATCGCCCCCCAAAAGATACNAAAAAAAAAAAAAAAAGAAGATCTTATGAGCCATTATCATGGTTTTTCTCAAGTCATACAATATCTTATTGCGCTGTAAAATATTCATGGCTTTCATAATTGCCGATGTAGATATTCGTTTATATCTGCATCAGCATCTTTATAGGAATATGCCTAAAATTAATTGTCTTGTTGTGTGACCCTGAAATCACTACTTGGTTAATTTTATGTACAGTCAGCGTCATATAGTTCATAATACATAACTCATTGTAATAAAGACGTGTTGCGAACTTGTTAGCTACTTCGGGTGTCACGAACTATTTGATGATGACGGTGACTGTACCTATTAAGTTTTTTTTTTTATGTGACAGGAGGCAAACGAGCAGACGGATCACCTGATGGTAAGTGATTACTGTCGCCCATAGACACCCGCAGACCCAGGGGCGTTACAGGTGCGTTGCCGGCCTTTAAGGTAAAGATACGCTCTCCCCTTGAAAGCTATTAAGTTGCATGTTATTTTTTCAAGCACGCCTAGGTATTTCTTCGGAACTAACATTCTGCAGCCAAAACAGTTTGCTGGATTTCAACATAATTAGTTACCATTGGATTGTGGAAGTGACAAAGGTAATGTGCATTTGTAAATAATTTAACACTTATATTACTGGCATCTACGAATAAATTAAAAGTTAAGGTAAGTAGGTAATCATTGACGACCATGTCTTCCGTTTAAGAATAAGCACACCACAGAATCCTCACGGTGTTTATTATTGGTCGTCATTTCATGGTCATCATTTTTGCCAGGGTAGTACGTACTCGTACGGTCAGGTAACAAACGATTGCATACCTAGGATCGAAAATCGTTATGTAAAACATGGCTCATTGTCTCTAGAAGTGATTATGTAGGCGTCTAATTAAGTAATTAAAAAGTACACCTCACCTTTGACATCGCCCCTGCTGTCTGCATTCTCGTTCTTTGAGTAAGTCCTGGTTTCGAACTTGAAGCCGTAGCTGGGGTCCTCGTTGGGGTCGAAGTAAGGGTCGTCTTTGTTGCCGATGGGCCCCCGGGGGCGCTGGTCCAGGTCCATCTTTCTGTGCACGTTTGGGCCCTTTGCGCGAAAACTGGAAGGTGAGATTGAATTTTCTTTTATTTTGTATTTTGGGCTTCTAACTCAGTTTGATAACTCACAAATATCTCTATATTAGACGATTACCAAAGTCTGGCAGTTAGATTGGTGACTTACTTTATACCCACACTAATCGGACGCTATAATCCACACTAGGATGTCGTGGTGGAGTATATCCTGAGCCACACCACATGTGGGGTTGAGGCCTGTGGCCGGCTCGGAGTGGGACTGTTGACTCGGTTGGTACTTTGCTTTTTGGGCAAAAACCAGAATCTCAAGTGGCAGTGGACCTGTCGTATGTAAGGTTTTGGAATGGAGACTGAAAAACGTGTTGTCCTACGCCACGCTAGTCAATCGACAACCTAAAGAAGACAGCTGGCAGTGGCTGGTTGAAAATGGTGAGATCGTGCTTTACCGCGTCTTTTGTGGTAGGCTAACGTCTAGCTGTGGACTACTATAGGCTGCAATAATAACGATGATGGCTCACCCCCTAGGCCCAGCAGTGTAGACGGTCTCCTTGACGGTGTCAGTGGCAGGGTCTCGGGCTCCGAACCTGCCTCCCACCACGCCGTTCGCGTTGCCGTGGGACAGGTGGTAGCTCTGACCTCGGTCTTTGTTTGTGTACCTAGATCACCAATTGTTATGAGTTACAAAGCAATGAAGTTAAAATTATGTAACGCTAAAATAATACGAGTACTTAGCAAAATATTATTAAAATTTTCATATACAGTTTAAAGACACACGGAATTTTATTCATTGGAATGGAAAATCTGTGAAAATTATGTAGGATTTAAAAATCTTTTAATTAAGTATTAACTAACTGCTGATTGCAGTTTTCATGAAATTTTATACAATTCAATTAGTTTAGGTTAGGCTTTACATAGACAGATTTAAATTAAAATACATCAATGACACTGGTGCCGTAATACAATATATTAAAATATAAGTTTCAATTATAAATTTTACTTAATAATTTAAATAATGATTTAATTACACAAAAATATAGATCAACAACTTAATTAACAATCTCAAAATAATTCCAAAAACATTTCACCGATTAAATAAACCTTTATCACTTGAAATAATTTCACCAATTTTGAAGTTATTATGCTATCACTTCCGAAAACTAAACTACCTATAGATTAAAACCTTTATTACTTCTGTAAGCTAATAGATAAATAAAAGCTCGTAATTACCCAAAATCGAACGATCCATCCGTATTCACAGTATTGTAATCACCATCATTGGTCCTGGACTTGCCAGGGATGACCTGAGTCCTTGCTACCCCGCACACACACACTAGAAGCACACAAGTCCAAAACATTTTGCCACTGTGCACTGAACACTGCACTGTCAGAAGTCAAGGTATGACTATGCTGGTAAAAAACAAAGCCTCCTCTTATATATGGCGCTAAAAATGAGCGCCCAGCGGAGTCATGCCGCGTGAAAACGACCGGACGTCATTGTTATTAATAATAGGGCTGTGATATACAGCGAGCGAGGAGATTTTTGAAAATGCTAGGCTAGTGCGCTTAGCTGCGGACGAATGTCCGATTTTAGAATAATACTCGCTTGCGGCTCCTGGGTTTTAGGGGAGAGTCCTACATAACCCATGACAGATGGCAACGGCCACAGGGCTTGTGCAAAGCATTTCCCAGCTGAAAAAAAGGCTAATGGACTACTCGTAAGCAGTTCGTGTCATTTAGGACTTATCTTTGTGGATCAAATGTCTTAAATTATTTTACCTTGATTAGAGGAATTGCTTGGGTGTTCATTAAAGAGGTAGTTACTTACGAATTTTCTTATAGTCCAGTCAAAAAAGCATTATAGATGGAAAACTGTAGAACACAATTTCTGACTTCAGGACTTTATTTAGACTAGTTAGGAGGTGAACATAGTAAAAGTCCCCACCCTTAGCCCTTGAGCCGGCGGGGAGAGGGGGGTTTAAAGGTGCCACTTTTCGGTTTTTCGCTTAATCCTCGGAAACTATGCGTCCTAGTGACATGACTCCTTTGAACCAAAAAAAGCATATTCAATTTGCTACAGGTGAGATAGACAAGTTTTTCTATAAATTGTATAGTTTTCGCGGCATCTGCTCTAGAAGGTCTGTAATATTGGAAATTTTATTTTTGTCTTACATGTTTCCATCAGGAGAAAATCGACTAAATCAACATTGAGCAATCATTCTAGACATGCGGGAGCATGTTAAGCCTAGTTCCAGGGAGGGGACTGCACCGTGCGTATATTTAGACGAACCACTTTGAGCCACTTTTGACCCCTCATCACTCAAAAACTACTGTGCATTAACACTTCAAATTTGGCTCATGTGTTGAGACTTGCAAGATAAACATCAGTTTCAAATTTCATAAATATATTCTTTAGATATTGACGTCCAAAAATCTACATGTCTGACCTATAGACCAAATTCTAACCACTTCCAGATGGCCTCGAAGGTTCAAATTTGGCATCCAGAAAGGTAGTTATGTAAATGGGCATTTCTACTGTACGGTGTATTTTTTCTCAATTCGGTGCTAAAATTTATATTTAGTTTTTTAAGTAGTTTCAATACAAAAAAATAAATGTTACTCCATTCTGAATGTAAAAATAGCATTGTCACTAAATATTGTGAAGTGGTTTATGAGAAATGTTAAGCATCGAATTGAGAGAGCACCGAATTGAGAAAATGAATCACGGAATTGAGAAATGAATCTCCAAATATAAAAATCGCTCCGCAAACTTAGAATTGATGTCACATGGATGCCATAACAGCATTTTTGCAAGGAGACCTGGAAAATGAAATTTATATGGTCCAACCTGAAACATATGAAGAAGGAAGCAAAGTATGCTTGTTACAAAAATCATTATATGGTTTGAAGCAGGCCAGCCGGCAATGGAATGTAAAACTGGATGGAGTATTACAGAATATTGGGCTCACTAGATCTAAGATTGACCCATGCATTTATTACTGCATTAAACAACAAACTATGATATTTGTTGCCGTGTGGGTTGATGACCTTATAATTTTCTCCAATAATAAAGACTTGAAGACGGACATAAAGGAGAAATTACAGAAGGAATTTCACATGAAAGATCT